GGGGGGGGGTCACTCACTGGGATGATGCAGTAAACTGTGACTGTGGTCGCTTCGTATATACAGCTGGTGAACTCTGCGCTTCTTGGTTGTAAAACACAGACTCGCACACACTTGTAGCCCGTGAGAAACTAGCGAAAGGAGCGCGCCACAGCCACTACATCACTTCCACGCCGTGTCCCCGCTTGACAAATGGAGGTACCGGATCGGACCGAGCCGCCTCGGCAGATGTCAGCGCACGAGACGAGTACTCCTCCTGCCCGCCAAGCAACGCCACGCCACGCTAGAAGTCGCGCCCGACGAGCATGACTCTACTTCGCGATGCTGGGATGGACAGAGCACTGAACGCACTGGCCGGCTCGACCGGCCGGCAGCCTGTCCAGGGCAGTCTACAGCTGAGGGGTCCACTCCCTAGGTCCACTCCCCCCCCCCCCCCCCTCCCGGGGGGCCTCCCAGGGGGGGGGCCCCCCCCCCGCCCCCCCCCCCCCCCCCCCCCCCCTCCTCTTCCGCGCACCGGCGCCGGCGCGCCTCGCGCCTCGCGCCCGATCGTACAGGGACGCTGCGGGGGGGAGTGCCCTGCTAGTTCCCTCTGCGACAAAAACTTCAGATTTGGGTTTCTCACGTTTAAATTAACTATTTTACCACGCTTCACAATGTTTTTATAGCTACTTCGTACTGGACTGCCGTTAGTTCTTATTGTAACCTGTACTTTAAAAGGAGAAGGGTCACACCCAAATTACCAGACTCAATAAACTATTACAACAAAGATATGAATGTATTAACAAAATATATTAAAAATAATTTTTAACCACACTAATACAAATAGAGCATCTCTCCTAAATGTTGGTTTGGTTCAGGGATGCACTCACAGATGGTCGCTGCACTGGGCAGATTTCTTTGTTGCACACAGTACAATCAAATGATTTTTAATTATTGGCGGGTTGCAAAGCGCTATTGTTAAAATTCTTGATGTTCACACACAGTACATTCAAATTGGTAGGAGGGGTCAACACTATGAACACTTACACCATTTGCTGTTCTATTCAAAGTAAGAACAGAAATAAACATCTGTCTGCAATACTCCAGTCATTCTATTTTTGTTATCTTATAGATATAATTTAATTAATTCATCACTGACAGCTGATGGTGTTAAAATTCCTAGATCAGTGAAGAGCAGGGTGATAAATGATGGTGGTGTGTAGTCTACCATGGGATGTTCCTTAGACAAGTCATTTTGAAGCTTACTAGCAGAATACTGAAATGAAAGAAATAATGAAATAAGTTAACAAAAACAAAAGCTAGATACCCTGTTGAAATCTCTCTTGGACCAAAATGCAAGTATGAAAGAAGAAAAAGATTACCTTAAATTCTTTTGGTAGATTTTGTTGATTAAGGGGATATATTCTCACAAATTTAAAACTTTCTGTCAGAACATAAAAAGGTTTCTTCAACTCTTTGGCACACATTGCCATGGTATAACTTCCAACCTAAAATTTGCAATAGGTATGAATTTGAATTATTTTTAAAGATTGCTATTTTTAAAATGACATGGGACCCAATAAAGAAAGACTTACCTTATTGATGATACCGCCACTTTCTACAACTCCTTCAGCACCAACCATTACCATGTCAACCTGCTCCATTACATATCCCATTGTGGAGTCAAGAATCAAGGTACATGGAATATTTGCAGCATCAAGCTCTTTACACATTAACCTCCTGAAAGATGAAATGGAGAATGGTAATACACAGACCACCTTCACACTGTAACAGGCCACTTAGAAATCAGGTACAACTATATTTACCCGCTTTCATCTGGAGACGAACATGTGACATAAACAGTAAATCTCTTGTTCGCTTTTGCAGCTTCTTTCATAGTTTGTAGGACTACACGAGATTTAGAATGAGTGAGAATTTTCTGAAAAAGAAACCAGTCAGTTGCTGATAGGAGGATATAAATAAGATACTTAACATGAAGACATTAAGTGTAGGAGATATTTCAGCAGTAGGAAAGTGCATCAGTGAATAAATTCATTTCAGGAACTTACACATCCATCCACAATAAAAGGTCCAGCCATCTTGCCTACTTTATCACGAGCTTCTTTCAACTTATTCAGGAAAAGTTGTCCACGACTCAACATGCTTTCCTTACATTTGTCAAAGCTCTGATTGTCTAACAGCGAAGTTAAAGTTATAAACCGGCGAAAGAGCTCTGTGGCTGAAGTGATAGCTGTTATGGGGTAGTCAGTTTGGCGCATTGATGCTATGGCTTTGGACAGCTTATTATCTAATTCCTGCAAAGTCTTAGCTGAAAATCAAAATAACGCAAGAAATAAGAAGATTCAAAAATTGACAGTTGATATGACACACTTCACACGGTAAATACTTACAATTATCCTTTTCTAAAAAATAGAGAAGTGTTCGAATAGCTGCAATTCCAGCTGATACGTCATGATCTTCTCTCAAGATTTGGCAGAAATATTCAGCAACTGTAAAATAAATTAGTGTTGCAGAAGAAATGTACCAATTTTATTTGGGGGGGGGGTAGGATTTACAGTTCAACACGGATTAACTTTGACAAAATTGACAGACATGGACGACATAACCTAGACCAGTCTCCCAGGGATTTGATGAACAAGGGACAGTCACTTACCCTCGGCCTGAACGTCCATTCTGTGAAGTTCTTTAAGAAACTAGCTTCGAAGTAGGACAGCACAGGAACAAAAGTGGCAATGACAAGACGTAAAAATGACAGAAACCAGAGCAATATGTTATTAATCCCACATGTAAACACGGACATAAACCATGGAGACTACAGTATTAGGAGGGGGAGGGGGGATGCTGCAGACCGCAGATGAGAAATACGTACGGACGCTACGTGACATGAGGTCATGGATGCCGTACTGAGGATACGCAACCTCCTGCAATCACTCACTCTTCTTTCACCCAATCGTTGTGTTGTGTTCTGATGTCATGAGGTGAGATGATTGTTGTGATTCAGAGAACATTTAAAAGGTAAATTTCATATCTTCGCCATTGCCGTGGGTGTTGCCAGCTACTCGATATTGTTTCATACATGAATACCTATAAGAAAAACAAACTTTGCTGCCAGGTAGGGTGATACTCGTAAGTGAAACTGCTGTTATGATGCTGATTTGGTGAACTATTATCACAATCCTTCGAGGGTCTTGTGAAAGGTGACACTTGAGTGTCACTTTCAGCCAGTTGCTGAGAGTTTTACCTCTATGTTTACCTTATTAATGTTCCTGGGGATGAAGGTTAAGACCTTTTAATTCACATTAGTAAAATTACATGTCTTTGAAGTGTTTCCTTTTACAGTTCATTTTATTTCGCATCTGCTCTTTTCCAATCCAAGCCAATTAATAGAATTAATTTTATTTGATTTTCAGAAAAAATGGATCTTGTGGAAACTGAGACTCTACAGATAAAGGAGATACAAGAGAACTCATTTAATCAAAATGATTCTCCCTCATCAAATCACACTATCCCAGAACTACTCGATGCTGATGGGAAAACTGAAAATAATTCTCAGGCGCCATCTGAAGTGGAATCGTCATTATTATTGTCCAGGTTTGAAATAGATGTCAACCAAATTGAGACGGCCACTGTAGATGATCAAGATGCAGACATACAATCCCTGGGTCTCACAGTTTATGACCAAAGTACACTGGAGCGTGGTATTTGGGATCAAGTGGAGAGAGAAACACGCAAAAGAGAAGCTCAAGAAGAACTTGTTAATGTCTCAACAAAATTAAAATTAGCTGAAGAACAACTCAAAAGAGTAGAAGCTGCCAAAGGATTTAAACGGTCAATTCTTCAAAGTGCTCTTGAGGAACCCCTTAGAAAGAAAGCAAATCAAAATGTTGTTCAAAAACATGAAGACATCACAAATGAGAAAGTTAAAGAACTCCAATTGAAAAAGGCAAAATTGCAAGCAAAATTGAGTAGCAAGAACTCTTTGAAAAAGGATCATACTACAGAGGAATCTGAAAGAGAGCGGAAAATACGCATGGGTGAGATGACGCCTTTTGGATCATCTATAAGTGGTCCTTCAAGGTATGTGTCATACTCATACTATTGGTAATCAATTTTCTTCTTCATTAAGATCGAAGCAGTAATTTTTTAAAATTTATTTCTATTCTGTTTTAAAATTTTTTAGTGACTTGAGCAGTTTTGAAAAGTATTTAAAAAACCAGCAAGAGCTTCACAAAAACATGATGAGTAATATTTTGGCAAGAAAAAAAACAACTTCTAAATCAAAAGTTTCTGAAAAGAATTCTGAAAGAGTAATATTATCAAAAATGAAACCATCCTCCAAAGCAATTTTGAAGAAAAAGGTTCTTTTTCCCAAAAAGCGTGAACCTAAAGAAAAGCTTGGCACAAGTACCAGCTTTTCACAGAATCATCAAGATATATCACCTGGAGGAGTACCTGGAGAAAATGCTGTTATAGACTTAGAAGAGAGTGGAAGTGAATATTTTCCCTCAGAGTCAGGTATTGTTGAATTTAAATTTAAAACAAATTTGCTCATTGATATTTGTAATTTGCTTACAAATTAGATTTTGACTTGTTAAATTGTGTATATTTTAGATGATGGTTTTGATTCTACAAGTCCAAAGAAAGGAAAAAGTCCCTCTAAGAATAAGAGAGAACCCTTGCCTGGACCATCAAAAAAGAAAGACATGTCCAATAAGTGGTCTGGAGGATCCCTTAAGAGACGTAAGAGAAATGTTCAACCAGTTTCACAAGGGGATCCTGAAGATTGGTGCAGTGATGACTCAGACTGGATATGTACGGATGATGAAGAGTTTAGCAGTGATAATGAAAGTAACCGAAGAAGGGGTAAAAGTTGTGAGTTCCAATTTTTTGAACCAATAACAATAAGGGCATAGTGATTCGCTTATTTATCTTCTATCTGCTGTGAGCTATGTACTTCATAATCATATATACTGTTCTTTCTCAGCCAAAAGAGGAAAGGATGATGGAAACAATGATGATTTCCACAGAAGAGTTAAACAATGGGAGAGCCATAATGAAGGACTTAGAGATCAAATGGAAGAAGATGTCCATGAATTTGAAAATGGATTTAGAGTGCCTAATATAATTTGGGATAAGTTGTACATGTGAGGAAATTCTGTCATATATTATTATTTTTTCTGGGGTAAAATTGTGAAACAAAATTGAAGAGCTTTAAACTTTTTATTTCTCTAAGGTATCAACAAGTTGGAGTTCGCTGGATGTGGGAATTAAACCAGCAAAGAGTTGGTGGTATCTTAGGTGATGAGATGGGCTTGGGGAAGACAATTCAAATAATTGCATTCCTGGCCGGACTCTCCATCAGCAAGTTGAAATGTCGCACAACAGGGTAAGTTAATTTAACAATTTTATGAAAATGATGATTTAGTAAATATAACTTTATTAAATATATTATGTGATCTACATTTTAGATATAGAGGTCTTGGGCCAACCCTAATTGTATGTCCTACTACTGTAATGCACCAGTGGGTAAAGGAATTTCACACATGGTTTCCTCCTTTGAGAGTTGCAATCCTTCATGAGTCAGGGTCTTTTATTGGTGAGATTACTTGTTCACTGTACACAGATGTAAAAGTCATCAAGTAGTTTTTTGACCATTCCTCTATTTACTGTTTAATAATCATGCTGTCCTACTTCTATTTTGGTTTGAAGTGTCTTTGTAAATTGTCTCAGGTAAACGTTCTCAGCTAGTTCGAGATATGATGCACCAACACGGTATTATAGTTACATCATATACTGCAATTGTTCGCCTCAAAGACTGTCTTCTACACCAACGCTGGCACTATGTTATTTTAGATGAAGGACATAAGATTCGGAATCCTGATGCACAGGTTTGTGCAAGGTTTGTTTTAAGTTCATTGTGTTGGTGCTGTTTCAATCATTGTAATTCCTTTTCATTCTGTAGGTAACTTTGGCAGTGAAGCAACTACGTACACCTCACCGTCTCATACTTTCTGGATCCCCTTTGCAAAATCACTTACGTGAACTATGGTCACTGATGGATTTTGTATTTCCTGGGAAACTTGGCACTCTACCCGTTTTTATGTCAGAGTTTGCAGTGCCCATTAATCAAGGCGGCTACTCTAATGCTTCAGAAGTCATGGTAATATTTTTGCTGTAGTGCTAGGATTCATCATTTAATTGATGGACTTATGGATTTTTCTGTATTGTAAAGGTTGCCACAGCATTCAAATGTGCCACAGTCTTGCGTGATACTATTTCACCTTATCTGCTAAGGCGAATGAAAGCAGATGTAAGCGAGCACATAAAACTTCCTTCAAAAAATGAGCAGGTGCTTTTTTGTCAACTCACAGATGAACAAAGAGATCTGTACAAGGGATATTTGCAGTGTGGAGAAGTAGGAAGAATTTTAGAAGGAAGATGCCAAATATTTGTTGGCTTAATTAATCTAAGGAAAATTTGTAATCACCCTCATCTGTATTCTGGAGGGCCAAAATTGTTTGGTGATGTAAGTAAATCATCCTTCTAGGAAATGCTCATGATATTTCACAATGTGATCTGTAACACAGCAATCTTTTATCGTAAAAAATAAATCTAGGAGAAAGAGCAGGATTTACGGGAGGAAGATCGTTTTGGATTTTGGGAGAAAGCAGGCAAGATGATTGTTATAGAGGCTCTTCTTAAAATATGGCACAAACAGGAGCATAGAGTTCTGATATTCACTCAAAGCAGACAGGTGATATTTTTATTTTTAAATCACTTCACCAAGTTTGATTCTTTTTTTACCTCATTTTTTTACTTGTTTCATCTATCTAAAGTTATGATAATTATTTTGTTTTAGATGCTTTTGATCATGGAAAAGTTTGTAAGTGACCAAGGTTATCGTTATCTAAAAATGGATGGTGGAACTTCCATTGCAGCACGTCAGCCACTGATTAATAAATTTAATGAAGTGAGTAGCTTTGAAAAGGACAAATACAAGTCCATTTATATGTAATATATCCATATGATATGTAATATCTTCATATTATGTAATTTTTTTTTGTTCTTGTCTTCAGGATAAATCACATTTTGTAATGTTATTAACTACTAAAGTTGGTGGATTAGGTGTCAATCTCACAGGTGCTAACCGAGTGGTTATTTATGACCCCGATTGGAATCCAGCCACAGATACTCAGGCTCGCGAACGTGCATGGAGAATAGGGCAGAAGAACTCAGTGACAGTTTATCGGCTAATCACAGCTGGAACTATTGAAGAAAAAGTAATTAGCTTTTTATCAGTCTTATTATGCATTAAAAATAAGTTTCAGTTGTACTTTTTTCAATTAATACTTTTCTTTCTTTCCCTTTTTCTAAAAAAAGATGTACCACAGGCAGATATTTAAGCAGTTCCTTTGCAATAAGGTTCTCAAAGACCCACGCCAGCGAAGATTTTTCAAATCCAATGATCTTCTTGAACTCTTCACTTTGAAGGAAACTGATGATGGTAGTACTGAAACGTCAGCAATTTTTGCTGGTACCAACTCTCAGGTAACATCTAAAGTTCCTCTTAGGTATTTGAAGTTCTATTTTGGACAAATATATATTTGATACAAATTATTTTAGGTGCATGTTAAACCCAAGATAGATAGCCACAGAACTGTGAAAGGCAAAAACCCATCACCACACCCCATTAAAGAGAAATCAAAATCTGAAGATTTTCCCAGTAAAAGGGGATTAAAACACAACAAAGAAGACAAGTGTACAAAAATAAGTTTTACTCAGGACAAACTGGAACATATGAAAAAGCTTGCACATGAATTAAGTCTGAAACTTTCTAACAAAACTTCTGTTGCGAGAACAGATGTGGTTGTGAAAGAAACTGTAGATCTGTCTAATAGTACAAAATGTGAGCAGATTGTGGAAGACATGCAGAGTGCAGACCCAGAAGGCGAATCATGTATTGCAGCTGGCTCTGAAACTGTGGAAGATGTGACCACAGAATTTTCAGAGGATAAAATTGAAGTAAGTGCTATTGAACAGCAGCCTACCTCATGTAACATAGAAGAGAAAAATGATGACGAAGCAGCACTTAACTCATCAAGCCAGAAAGATATTTTAGCCTGTGATTCTGATGATGATCTTGAGGAAATGAAGCAGCTTGCTCAGGAGCTGAGCAAAGAACTGTCACATAAAGTTAAGGCTGCTGCAGTCATTAATTACAAATTACCAGGAATCATTCCGCTTACTGGTACCAATACTTTATTACAAAGTGGAAGTGTTCAGAGTGATAAATTCCCTGAAAGTACAAATTCGCCAGTTAAATTTGAACCTGAATCTATCAATTGTGAAATTCATAGCACAATCAACTTAGAAGAAAATTTAAAAGAGAAATCAGAATCTCCTTCTGATCCTGTAGCTTCCTCATCTGTAAGGCGAAATTCAACACCACATAAAACCAATGAGAGGTTTGTTCTTTTTTAAAAAAATATTATTATCAAGTTAGTCCATTTATTGTTTAGACTGTATCAATTTTTTTTTTTTTTCAGGAAAGAAACAGAGGGAAAGGAACAGTCAGAATCCTCTTCTAAACACACCAAAAAGAGCAAAAAGCACAAGAAACATAAGCATAAATATGCTGTATTTGAAGGAGAAAAAGTTAGAGGCTTAGTGAGATCATCAGCAGTGGAGGAGAAGACTAAAGAACAACTAGCTGAAGAGGCATCTCACAGCAAAAAGCAGGATGATTATGTTCTAAGAAAGCTGTTCTCTAAAACAGGTCCTTAACATTGATAGTACATATTTATATTAATGTCAAGAATACTTCCTTCATTTTTCATTGATTGTAATTCATTTGTATCTGTAGGAATTAAAACTGCTATGCAACATGAGAAGATTATGGAGTCAGGCCATGCAGATTATGCTCTAGTTGAAGGTGAAGCTCGGAAGGTGGCACAAGAAGCCATTAAAAACATGAGAGCTTCTAGACAGAATTGCTGGAGTGCTATGTCTGGTCAGCCAACCTGGACTGGAGCAAGTGGAAGTATCAGAACTTCTGAAAGAACAGAAAATACATCTGAAATCTCAAGGTACTTTGTTTACTCTTCAACCACAAGATGTTGTAGGTACTATGCAAGTATACTGTCGGCTTGTATTAATCAATATTACACCAAATACTCCAGGCCAAAATTCGGGAAAAAGAAATCAACAATTAAAAAGAAAGGATCTCAAGCTTCAAGTGGACAGGATGCTGAGGAAGAAGGGGAAGGGGGATCTAGCTCTCTCTTAGCTCGAATTCACGCTCGAAATTTGCTGTTAACTGAGGAGGATGAAGGTAATTCGTGTTTTCTGTTATTATAGTTTAGCTTCATTAAGATCTTCAGACTGACTGCTTACTACTCTGGTCTCTAAACTTTCCAGGTGCTGCCCCAAGTTTTGTTCCTGACAATAACCGAGAACTTTTAGATGAAATCAGAACTTTTGTTTCATTTGGTGCAAGTGTGGATGGCCGTGCTACTACCGACGAAATCGTTTCCCAGTTTCGAGATCGACTTCCTTCTCAGTCAACTGCATTGTTCAAACAAATGCTAATGCAAATTTGTGAATTTCATCGGTTACCAAGTGGCCAAGGGGTCTGGAAACTCATCCCAGAATTTCACTGGTGATGAGAGGGTTCCTAAACGTTCTGCATTATGTTGTGATGTTATCAAGATACTATTTTGATACTTAACTTATTATAAATAATTCCGAAGTCGTATTGCCTTTAACGGCTATGTCCTTGTCAAAGTACCTGCCTTGTACAAATACATTTTTTAAGTTTTCCGTTTAGTTGGGTAAGATTTAGTGAAGGGGTAAATTTATCCTCCCCTGTCATCTTGTTGTAGGTGTTGTGTCTGCCACAGCTGCATAATTACTAGATATTTACAGTCTGTGATCTATTAATAGATGCATTTTGTTAATTTTTAAATTGATTTTCTGTGTGAGTTTGTGTAATGTGATGGTTTGTATAATTAATATTTTTTTTGTTTCCCAAGATTGGAAAGCAACATGTAAATAAGCACAAGTTGTCTTTTCTACAAGTACATATTTTTATTTTATGAGTTTGCAGCTGGATCCTTTTTACAGTCTATTTACACCTGTACAATTTAAGCAATAACATAAACTTTGCTTTATACAATTAAGATTCTAGATATATTAATTTTAGACCTTGTAACTACAGTTGTATTTAAAATCACATTTCATCACATTGAGTATGTTTGCCTATTATGTAAATATACAATGTTCCACAATGAACATTGCATGGATTGCAAACTCCCCCCCTCCCCTCCCTTCCCCTAATGTCTGCATGACAGTAAAATACATCCATGAAATTTTCATTGTTTTGTTTTGTTTACTTACACAAGAGCCAATAAGGTCCGCCTGGTACAATACATTCTCGACAGAATGAATGTATTGGCTGGAGTTATTGAATTTGCCAACAACTGAGAGGTATGAATCACCATACCATGTTTTAGCAGAATATTTCTAACAATAAATATCTATTCTACTACTAAGGCCCTAAAAAAAAACAATGTATGGTTCAACAAGCTATTTACACATATGAACAATGAATAAAATAAGCACTGCACCTCAGGAGCCAAGATTTTATAATACTAGTTCATTTATATATAGGTATGGATCAGTTAATACATCAGTTGATTGACTGGGGCTCTTGGTTTCAATTCTTAGTTGGACTGTCGAAACATTGTCAAAGAAAACTTGAGACTTAAAATTTCATTATTTTTCTCTATTCATATCACAAAGTCTCCACTTGGGAAAAAATGTTTAAATC